GGGACCCAGGGAAGGTGGGCGGTTGAATGGCTGGGACCCCTCAGGAGTGTCACTCATTCTTCCCCCTTTCCCATATTCCCCCGCCCCGCCCCCAAAAGAAGAGAGAAAGTGGGGGGTATAGATATTACTTTCCCTCCACTCCAGAAAGTTTCAGCCCCCTCCCTCCATAATTCCTTAACGCTCCCTGCAGAGAGTAGATCTGCTCGACCAGTGGAGCTTCTGCCTGCCTTTTTCCACCCGGAGACGATGGAGGAGGTCCCGCAGGAAGTTCCTCCCCTCCCCCTCTCTCCTCCAGGGGGCGCCTTCCGCCAGTCTCTCTCGGAAGGCCTCTCCCTCCTCCCGCTTCTCGTATGGGTCCCTCCTTTGCTAGTGGCTGGGAACGATGGACCCTGGAGTCCCTCCTGACGGCCCTCCTCCTCCTCCTTTTCCTCCTCCTCCTCCTCCCTGCAGCCCATTTCCTGGTCCAGGGGAAGCTCGAGTGCCATTTCTTCAACGGGACGCAGCGGGTGCGACTCCTGGACTGGTACATCTACGACCGGCAGGAGATCGCCTACTTCGACAGCGACCTCGGGAAATACGTGGCCGTCACTCCGTTGGGGCAGCGCGATGTGGACAAGTGGAGCAGCGATAAGGTCTTCATGCAGATCAAGAGGGCCGAAGTGGATTCCTTCTGCCGATACAACTACGAGACAGCCAAGGCCAGGCAGATGGTGGGCCGGAGAAGTGAGTGGGGAAGGGGGAATTCAGGGGGGGGGGGATCCCGGGACCCCCCACTTCCTTTCATTTACTAGGATTCTCCTGGAGAAAGATCCAGGAAATTTATTCATTTGTATCTTATGGCTATTGATGGATCCTTCTAAACCTCCCCCCTCCCTCCCCCAAAGAGGGGCTCTGGGTGGTGTAAGATAAAACGTAACCCTTGAATAAAGATAAGGTTAAAATTTAAGTCACAGTTTAAAAAGCTGGGATTATACAACAGTGTGTCCTGGCTGAAGATCCCAGGGAAGGAAGCAGACGGGAGACATTCCCCTCCCGAATGCAAAACTTTCTTGGGCAGAGAATCCCAGCACTGAAGGAGTTGGAAACCAGCTCTGGCCTTTTGGGGCCAGAAGGACAGATTAAAAGTATAGGAACTCCCCCTCCACCTTACAGAGTAAGTCACACACACACACACACACACACACACACGGACGCACGGACGCACACACTCACGCACTACAGTTAAGCCCCAGGTAATTGTTCTAAGACAAATCTTTCCTCTGCTAGGAACAATCTATTAGGTGAAATCTGGCTCAAAATCAGGGGATCCTAATGGGGAGCCTCACACTGAAGCATCCGGAGGCTTCAGCTGGTCCAGAATGCGGCCGCGCGGGCGGTGTTGGGAGCGACACGTCGCTCCCACGTAACGCCGCTGCTGCGCGAGCTGCACTGGCTACCAGTGGCCTTCCGGGTACGCTTTAAGGTGTTAGTTACCACCTTTAAAGCGCTCCATGGCATAGGACCTGGATATTTACGAGACCGCCTTCT